GACAGTTCATATGAGTTCAGAAATCGAATTCTAAATAGAAAAATCACTTGCAGAGAGTGTTGTGAATAATTTATGAATGATGTCTTGATAAACTCAGGCCTCAACGAAACTTAACATAGCTTCTCATAATGTTTAGGATCTATTTGGGGTCAAAACCTAAGTAGATGATCATATCCATTTAAAATGCCTTGTCATTCTTGAAAGATCTGTTTACCACAAACATCTCAAAATGAAAAGCTAATACAATTTCAACCAGAGAAAGGAAAATGCATGTCATGGCACGGTGCTGTAAATCAGTTCTGATCCAGAAGATCAATATGAACAATAAAATTAGACAAATTAATTTCAGTGCAGGAAAATATATACTTGCAAGTACCTGCATAGGCTTCAGACTATTAAGTTCTCTATCATCAGTTGTGCTCACTCCTTCTTGAGCTTGCAGCTCCATTGAATCACGAATGAGCTGACGGAGAAAGTTCACATCATCAGACATAACTCCAAACCCTTTCAAAAGCTTAGAGCCCAGCTGCAAACTTGTCTGCATGAATTAAAATATTTAGTTAGGTACAAAGTTATATCATAAAAAGACTTATCAAATTCAATAATTCAAACAAATGCAATCAATTAATTTGATACCTCTGCACTTTCCAGAATAGCATCTGTTGCACCCGCTTTCTTCAGATCTAAAAGGTGCTTGAGATCTAGAGCTCTGGCATAAATTGGGACCTGCAAATTTAGAATTTTCACCATAAAATTGACATTCAAACCAAGGAGGAAGAGTACAGAAAAGGATTTAAGATCTGAACAGAATAGACATCAATCTAAGATCCAAAAATTAAAATTAAAGTCAATTATTAATTGGAATGAATTTAGCCTTCAGAGCACTTGAGCTGGTACTATGTATGGCAGGAAAGGACTGGGACTCTTAGATTGAGATGTCAATTCACATTTATTGGTTCTACAATTCACTTCAATATAAGTATATTTTCTTATTCTAACCTCCGAGTTCATTCTATGGTCAAACCCAGTAGCTGCTGTAAGATAGGGATGTGTTCTGTTTGTGGGTTTGGCACTTGAGGTTTTGGTCTTGATTTTGTTATCTATGTTTTTCTTGTATTGTTTTGGTGGATATCTAGTTCACTATGCCTCTCTGCTTTTGAGGCTTTAAAAATCTGTCTCTTATAAGAATAGAAAATAAAAATAAAAGAAACCCTCAAAATTATCTGCTCAATCCCTTATTCACTCTGAGTTCCTTGCATAAAAACTCAAACCCGACCAAGATACTGTCAGCTCCAAGCTGTCAATCTCACAAGGCACAGAGCATGATGTATAACCAAACCATCCCAGGAGCCCGACGAATGTAGAAGAGCATTCTAATGCATAATGAGAACCCCCACACACGAATACACAGAGACATGTATCAGAGTCAGTGGGAAACCATATACAGAAATATTTTAATAACTAATAAACTGTAGAGATAAATATATAACCAAAAAGAAGAGGAAAGACAACTGCTCTATTAGAATTTCATGCTTCATCTGGAAAATGGATTTCAAAACCACTGAATGTCCTTTGAAATGGAATTCCAAAACTAGATAAACTCAGTTCAATGATAATCCATGCTGCAATAGACAAGGATATTTCTGTTTACATTGTATGATTACATCTTATGTGCGTATAATGGATGGACAAACAAGGAGGAGAGAGAACATTACCGCAGGGAAAGCAAGTCGAAGGCTTTGAACTGCCTCAGTTGTTTTATTTCTTGCAGTGTACATAACCATGACAGCTTTTGGGCAAGAGATACCAGCAGATTGCAAAACTGCTGGACGTGATCCATCCCCATAAAGAATTGGAAAACCAAGTTTTCTAGACGCCTGTGAATGAAAAGGTTAAAATAGCATCAGTTTATCTTTAACATACCAAACGAAGAAAAGATCTTTTAAAAACATATAAATTTTCCATTACAGTTTAAAAGCAGATATCAAACTTGCTTCAAATGTCAATTCAAAAAATTAATAAGGTGTTTTATGGAAAAAAATAATAATAATAAGGTTTAAGGAAAATAAATGACAACAATAAACTCTTTCCTCAGAAAAAAAAATTCAATCTCATATTAAGCAATCTAATATGAACTTTTTCGTAACTGATTCCCATGCTTCTAATGCAAGAAGTAAGCAGTATTTCCAGTATTTCCAGGAATTTAACTACTTCACAAGAAAATTAGTTAAAAAGTTTCCCCTGCAATGCAACATAATTCTTCCAAATACTTAGATCTTGTACTGTATTTTTGGTCGAAAATAATATTGTTAGCAGTATACTACTATAAATAGCCAAATGTAGGGATAGGCTTCTAGCTGTATTAAACTTCATTAGTGCAAACATAGCATCTGTATAAAATAAATTTTCAGTTATTTTAATACATAAATTTGGTAAATCAACTGGTTTTTGGTTAACTTACAAGCCGTGCATCTCCCACCACTCCATGTTCTCTTACATACCAATCAACATGAGCTACTTTCAATAATTTTAACTTTTACGTTTCAAATCTTTTGTAAATATATTTTGCATTCCATTCACACAGTGTATATAGGGGTCCAGTCGAGTATACATAATGTGTATGTTCGACGTGGGAAGTGCATGTGTGGGATCAGATACATTCCACCATATCCATACATTACTTAAAAACAATTATAATACTTATCAATATCCGTCCGGGTTTTCCATAAAGATTCATTTGTACATACATAATACACTCAAAGAAACTTAAACTCAAGGAAAAAAACTTGTCATATTTCGCATTTTACGGAATTCTTAAAAACTTAAACTTACTTGTAAACTTCATGAAATGTTTATCTCAAAGACTGAATACCTAATAATTACAGGTGAAAACAGATATTTTCCCACTTAGCTATAATATATGACACAGCCTTCCTTCTCCAGAAAGTTAGTCCCCAAACAACATATGAAATCTAGATGCTAAGATGCATCTAGAGTCCCCAAACAACATATGTAGCTTGCAATACAATATTCGTTTGTGTCGTTCAGCTCCTGAACACTGTTAAATAGAACCTTCAATGGTATCAAGATTAATGCATAGTGATGAGATCCCTGACCTCATACTATCAGAAAATATTACAACATTCTCAAAACCAATTACTTTTTTTGGGCCATATCAGAACCCACTACTCAAGAACACTAAACTATGCAAAATTCCATTTTTGGCTATCGTTTCGTTCTCAGGGTGTGTGAAACAATGTCTTACTTTCTACCCAACAATGTCAAATCCACAGTTCTGATCAAATTTATAATATCCAGAATTTTTCAACCAGATAATTATGGCTAATAAGATGATTTCACTTGCTTTATTGCAAGTATTCAAGTATTACTCATTCAAATATAATGAAAAGGAATTATCATGTTCATGCATATCAAATCCTGTTTAACATAGGAAGCAACACAAATAAAATTTTTACTAACCTTCACCACAGAAGGGTCAAGATCAAAAGCTACAAATGGCCATCCCACATTATCGCCATCTATCCCAGAGGCCAATGGAGTGGACAAGAAATTGGCAAGGACCTTGACATGAGAGAGAGAGAGAGAGAGAGAGAGAGAAGAGGAGGAAGAAGAAGAAGAAGAAGAAGAGTAATTACAATAGGACCTGAGAACTACTGCTCACTCAAAATTTAAATCTTGTAGAACAATGTAAGTTATAACCTTACCTGGCCCATTTGTCCAAATCCAAGAATAACAACAGGTTCACTAGAATCAAAGTTCACCACCTCAGCAGCTTTCTACACACATTTGTTTTCTCAGGCACTAAATTGAAGTTGAAGATATGGACATATCATAACTCTAAAACTAATTCAGAAAAACTTGATGGTTGTACTATTTTATCAGAACACAAAAGCAAAAAAGTGGATTAGTGTGAAAGTAGAGTTAAGAAACTTCAAATGATTCTGTTCAGTTTCTGATAAAACTTTAAATGAGTGTGTTATGGACTTGAGTTATGATTTAAAGGAGTTGATGCATGGAAACTCAATCCAGAAGATACATCAATGGCCTGCTATGGTTGCCTCCAGAAATCTTCAAATGCATTCTATGATGAAGTAACTTACATCCTCAGCATCTAAATTGTCACCAATAAATTCAGCAGCTCTTCTTCCAGTTTCGTTAAGCAATGGGGTCAATGCCATTGACAAGACAACAACAATTATGAGCAACTTGTTAAGCTCAAGTGGTAGCACACCAAGCCTGTTTCGACAATGCAGGAAATATTTTAAAACAAATACCAAACCTGAAATGTGTAGTCACAGATTATTTTCAGTGATATAACTTATGAGTTATGAGTTTATAGCTCACCTGTTTGCAAGAGAAAACACTACAAATCCAAACTCGCCTCCTTGAGATAGAAGCAATCCTATTCTTACACTTTCTTTTAAAGTGAGCCCAACACGAGGGCCTATTGCTGTTATGATCAGTGTCTTGATGACAATCAAGCCTGCCAAGAGTGAAAGCACATTCGGCCACTCTCGGAAAAGAAGCTGCATATAAAAGAAAATATGAATTGTGTAAGAGAAATGCATGCTGAATTTTTAGCGATTATTCTGCTTTTTTATTATTGCCGCATCTAAAAATTTTGGGTATGAGACGCGAGTAAAGAGACATTCATGTTACATAGGTCTGCAGAAATAATCACCATACATTTTATTTTATTTTTCAAGACAATAGGGCCACTTATCAGATCATTAAAATAATGAAAGGAAATATTAAAATGCACCGGCATATGAATCCTAGTCAACAATTTTCGGAACCAAAAAAAAAGGGATTACTTGTCCCTTTGTCCATAAACATTATTCTGTCATTGAAATAATTAAAACAGAGAACTGTGAAAATATGCAGGCAGCCAAAAACGATTTCAAAGATTGTTTCTCAGAAAAAAAAAAAATTAATCTTGAAAACAGAAACATCAAATGATGTTTGTAACTAAAGAGTACTTCAGTACCGGCATGTCAATGGACGTCCCTGTAGTCACAAAAAATAACCCAAGAAGTAAGCCTCGAAATGGCCTTATATCAGCTTCAATCTGTGTCCGGAAATTTGTTTCCGCTAATAGTGCTCCAGCCAAAAATGCTCCAAGCTGCATATGCAATGAAGCTCAACTATTACATAGAAAGGGCAGGTATTAATCTCAAATATGCTCCGTGTTTAAGAAGTGATATCAAACCGTATCACTGAAACCCAACTTCTGGGTGATAAGTGAGGTCCCTGCAACTGTCAATAAGCAAAGCGCAACAAAAGCCTCAGAGCTCCTTGCTTCTGCCACAAACTGATATTACAAACTAAATTTTAGTGCCCAGAAATAACATATAAAATAAATACTAAAGAGCTTAAGCCGTACTGTTTATCATGCAAACCTCAAACACTCGTCTAAGAAGGAATTTTCCTCCAAGAGAAAGAATACCCAGTCCACCTAAGGCTTTTAGACTTTCCTTCAGAAGCATTGGCCATATACTTTCCTCCGCTAGGTTCTGCAGAAAAATAAACAAAAAGTGAATTGTATCTGAAAGCAGACAAACTCCAAAAGGTTTTAAAAGGAAACAAATAGAGAGAAAACAGCAAAGTCCAAATTAAAGGTGCAAAAACTGACAAGAGACGAATCAGGGATAGATAATATGTATTAACAAGATTGCACATTCAAATATGATTTACTAACAAATTCCACATTAAGCTTATAAAGTTAATTGAATTTTTCATATACCTGGCTTTCCAGCACTGGAAGTATGACTAAGAGAGGTACGACTGCTATGTCCTGCAAATATCAAGCAGTGGCGGAGAAAATAGTTATTGACATCATACTCTTTGCATGATGACCCTAGAAAAATCCAGAATGGGAACTAAAAGAAAATGAAACACCAAACTGCTTATTCCATTCAATTTAACAAATCAAGACAATTGAACCCCAAAAGGAAAAATATATATGTAACTTCAATTGTGGTTTCAAATAGAACCTGTAAAAGAAGTATCCCTAAAGTTGCTGAGCCAAATCTTGTAGGGAGTTCACCTTTCTCTGCAAGTAGCTATACATTATGCTATGTAAGCTCTACACAGCAATATCAAATATCATTAAGGATATTGCAATAAATTAACGGCAAATATATTGGTATGAGTAATAAAGTAGAGAATTAGTTCCATTCTTTGCAATTTGATTTGTTCCACGGATTTTAATGGGAAAATCCAATTAGAAGACTCATGTAACAAGAAAATGGAAACAAAAGAAGAACCTTTGGGAAATACTGCCTGACATTTGGGATTGCTGTCCATTTTAGAACTTGTAAAGGCAAGAAGTTAAACAAATCGAAATACTGAATGCTCACAAAACTATCTGAAACGTTGAAATTCCCACCATAGGATCTTCTATGTCTTGCATTGATTGAGCCCAATCAAGGGACCAAAAAGAAGCTGTGATGGGAGTTTTTTTCTAGGCCTCATTGTTCATACTTCCTTAGAAAACTAAAATGCCATTGTACAACCATTGAACTGGGTATTTTATCACAACCACAGACTAGACAAAAAGAAGAAATACTTATACAATACACTATCGCTTTAGCTTAGCAAAAGACAGAGAGACAAAAAAGTAAATGATCACTTTGGCTTGAATATAACTAACCATGTTACGGAACCACTATATCTGTAGTGATAATAGCAGCTAATCGAAATATACTTGTTCATCTGAAAAATCAATATAAGCATTTTTATATTTAAATTACCTGAAGTACAAAAGCTGAAGAAGAGAGAGAGAGAGCAGCACCAATCACTACGGCTTCATCAATGCTTCTGATGTTGACCTATTACAAAAGGATGTACACAAAAAAAGAAAAGGTTAATAATGGCTGGGACAGAGGGCTTTCTGTATCATGATGCAGTTGGAAGCACTAAAAGACAGACCACCAGTGATTTTAAACATAATGAAAACTTTATGAACTTGAAAGCAAAATTTACATTCAAGTTTCAAAATTTTGTCACCACGGTAAGAACTTTGCACTTCAGTAGTCAAAGTCATAAGACAGAACACCACCATTGGTTTTATTTTATGGTTTTAGTGTATTACCTTTCACACAACTTCAACATAAATGGTATAGCTGGTAGTAAAGAAACAAATTGATGTAGTATAACTACTTAAATAAAAGAAAATATTTAGTGCTACAAAATATAACGGCAAAATGTACTAGTATGACAATTATGTACCAAAAACTAATCAATACACAACAGCAAACAAAAATATGTGGAAATGCTTCAAGAACGTAGAATTAGGATTTTCCAAGTTGGTATTTGAGGAAACGGAAACAATTCATGCATTCCAAAGGAAAGAGAGGAAAAAAAAAATTCTATAAGCTGAAGGGACCAATCATGAATCATAAAGTGCAGGTGTGGGACACAGTAAGCATCACTTTGACACTTTTACATTATCCCTCTAAGGGTTTTCAATAGCACCCACATTCTAATTTAACATAGTCTGCCTACCTCTAAAGCTAACCCTAACTATCTAGCAGTCTAGTAACTCAACTGTTTTAAGAAATGGCGTGCAGCTGTACATATGTTATGCATATAGCATATGAATCAATGAACAGTAGGTTGAAGCTCTATCATCATGGCGTATTTATGACATAAAACTAATACAGCAGCGTAAGACAAATAAGATGTGAAATTAAGAACATAAAAAGTAATACCATCCTGAATTTAAGGATAGAAGGGATGAATAAGAATAACATAACACCTGATATGTGCAACTAGCCACTAGCTTAGCTACCGTGCCCATTAGCTAAAATCTTAATTAAGTTATGAAAACCATATTTCCTATAAGCTGAGAAGAAGAGAAAAAAATAAGAAAACTGTCAGCACTACACCCAAAATGGATGCAAGCCTGAAAACTATGATAAAGTGGAGTCCAATAAATAACTAAGTCAAAAGCTTCGTAATATAAGGTTACATAGAATGAAATCATAGGTTAAAATGTTTAAAATGTTCTATGGAGCAGAGTTCTCACCAAATCAGGCCTTGAGTTAAAGAGGAACGTCAAAATTCTGGTTCCAATAGCCCCATTTGGAGGAAGTTCGAAGGCTGTGAAAGCAAGAGTAGACAATACGACCTTCAAGAGGAAGAAAATTGAGAAGAAGAAAAAATGTCAAAATTCCAGCAGCAGCACTATAAAATGGTTATTTTTTCCAATGCAATTAAAAAAGCATTCATGAAAAGTAAACACAAGCTTAACATATAAGATGCAGACAAAGAGAAATAGGACTAAGTAATGACAATGGTTGTATAACAAGGTGTTTAAAATTATTAATCAACAAAAAAGTACCGAGTACACTTCCATTAAGACAAAATGTCTCAATGTGTTATAGTATTTCTTTACTAACTAAAACAATTTTACATGGAATTCTCCGAAAACAAAGGTATTGCAATAGCCTTAGCCCTTAAGATATGCAACTTTCCCTATTAAGTTTCTAGTTCAATCATACAACTAACAGTACAACCAAATTAAATTTTATGTAATGTTATGACATGCTGATAGGTAATAGGGTGGCGGAAATGAATGACTCTGCAGACTGATCAGTCGATCAGAGTGGCAATTCCCTCAACTGAGCATGAAGTAAAGCATGCTTCGTTTGTTCATACCAGAGAGGAGGTCTCAAGTCTTGTCCAAAAAAGTGGGAACCACAAGTAAGCAATAGCACTACAGAGAAGAGCTTACTTGAGAGAATTTGTGCTTGTCCCATTAAGACCAACCTGGTGCTTTATTTATTTCATTACTTTACTCACAGAGAGAGAGAGAGAGAGAGAGAGAGAGAGAGAGAGAGAGAGAGCTAAGAAAGGAAATTTGTTACTAGACAGTAATTTGCTTGTATAAATAACTTTTCACAGATTGAGAGCAATTCAATTTCTGTTATTTGACACCATTCAATTAATCTATTTAGCAAACTAATCATTGAAATGCAATCTCTATTTATTCCTGCTATCTGTTCCACTCCCTGAGCCAAAAGAATGAATAGGATTAGGAATAGCAATTCAATTTTTGTCTTAACTATTCATGATGAATACTCATTTGATTTCTTCTTATTCCAAAAGCACATTTTTCCAGCTATATCACATGTATCTGATGTTTTTATTAACTCATACCCTAACTACTCCAGTTTGTGTTTCATAATTATGCTCAATAAAGAGAAAAATATCAAGCATCTCATATACACAACTACTGAGACACTAGAAACAGCGAGTTCTGCTTTTAGTCAACGATTTACCTGAGTTAATCCCATGCCAAAGGCATATTTTGCAAGAGCCTTTAGACGTGAAAAAGAAAGCTCCAAGCCCATCTCAAATAGCTGAAAGGGAAAACATAACAGTCATAATTACAGAAGTACAATTTAAGAGGTATGTATGGACCAACATATCATCATGTGAGGACTATAAGCTTCTTTGAAAAATTCAGAAAGAAAAATGGCATACGTCTAAGAAAACATTATGCAAAGAAAAGGAACACATCTTCCAAAAACCTCTCCCCGGATATTTCCCTGTCCATAATCCTCACTAAGTCCAGCTAATGATCCCTGAACATTTGTATCTTTCTTACTTTTAGTATCACAGTTAGGTGCATCCAGTAATCAACCAATAGAAAACTAATTTAAACTGGATGTACTTATGTTTGAGCATCAAAAAATAAAGATGACAAGAGATTCTTTTCCTCTTTTTTTTTCCTTTGTAAAAGCAAAAGGACACCCCCTTGCACATAGGAAGCACACAGGGGTGACCAAAAAAATTGCTTATTGGTTCATCCCAAGCACCATTGGACCCAAAAGCTTAAGTTGGTAAGGAATGGTAAAATAATGTATATCAAGCTAACACCATCCTCACCTGCTGCCCTATCCTGAAGAGGCAGAGAAATACAAAGAGGGAAACATATAGGTGCAGCCCCACCCTGCACTTCGCCAACCAACAAAAAAGTGGGGTATGCCCGGTAGGAGGTTCCAGACTCATGACATCATGCAATCAAGGTCTGATAATATGTTAGATAACCATTTGACCCCAAAAGCTTAAGTTGTTAAGGAATAGACCAATAATGTATATCGAAAATGACCATTTGGTCTAGTGGCATTTACTCTCATTTTGTATGAGGTTCTGAGTTCAAATCTCAAGGACAATAGAAGTTTAATATAAAGGGGGAAAAATAGAGATGAATTTGCACTATCACAAACCAAGATGATGAATTTGCAGTATTCATAAACATGGTACAGGTACAGCATAAGAATAAAATGCCACAGAATTAAACTGTTCCAACAGTACAACATCAAGAAAGAATGCTTACCAAGAAAAGAATCCCCCATTCAGACAAAACTTTCACATCTGTAAGATTTCGAATCAAGCCAAACTGATTGAGTACAATCCCCGCGAAGAAGAAACCAAGAATCTGAAAGCCATAACATACGCTGGATGTCATCTACAAAGCCATCTAATGTAATTAACAAAACATGGTTATATGCAAGCATGGATTTCCAAGTTTGCACATAAAAACGCACATGGGTGGACACTGGACACATATGCGTAAAAAAAAAAATACGTAGCATATACACAAATACTCCTCCCTTACTTACCACATGCTTGCCCATATTGCACACATATTATGAAAACAATGTGTGCAATCATCTTAATGCCAAAGGACAATAATAAGAAGAAGAATGAAAACAAAAGGCGAGATACAACAACAATCTTACAGGGCTGGCTTTGATGATCTTGAATGCAGGAACGATAATTACAGTAACAGCTAAGAACGTCAAAGTATCAAATCCCAAATCATTAATAACATCAACAGCGGTGGCAACATCAAGTGCTGCATACATCCGAAATCTTTCTGAGTGGGCTGGTCCATGGTTTGAGAAATCAAGTCCTCTCCAGCTGTATACAGAAGCAGCTAACAAAGGATTTCCTAAGAAATTTCTTGAAACAAAGGGGGGATGCCTCATCTTGTAATTGGTGGCATATGATATTGGATTCATTTGCTGGTTGCTAGAATATGGAATAAAAGAACGCCCACAAAACCGTGATAAGGCTAGAGAGCAGGCCATAAATGGCCTCTTTTGTTTGATAGTGTTGTATCCCTGCAAGGAAGAGAGCAAAAGATAAAGACTAGTACTACCACCATTTAGTTTTCTAATAAGGATGTGAACATAGAACAGTTTCAAATTACTAGTTTAATCCAACATCAAAATGTAGTATAAAGAAGCATGGAAAACTTAATGGCTTTGGATTTTAAACAATAATTCTGAAACTTTGGCTGATTTCATACTCTGTTTTCCTGTTGTGGATTGAAAACTTTGACATATTATTTGGAAAATTTGCCAAAAGTTTTAGCAAATAAATGACAGTTAGAATAATTTTACAAATTAATCAGCATTTGAAGTCCTAACTAATTGTCAATTTTCCAAACTGCTTTAAATTGTTCCCTACTGGTGGTCACCTAAAGGAAAAAAACATTATTTAGTTCATCATTTGGTAGACATGTAATGATGTAATAAATAGGATAAGTAACAAGACTGAAAAGTTACATATGGTTTTCAAATCTTCTTGGGCAATCCCAAAAAAAAAAGTATTCATCTCCAAATATATGAGCTGAAGCCGAACAATGCGCTCACATATACATACCAAATATACTACAAAAGACTTGGATTCATCAAGAAACCTAACTTAGTAACATTGCCATGAAGAAATTATGCCTTTCTATTAATGCTTTTTCTTTTTCCTTTTTGAAGAAAAGAAACTCAATCAGCCTTATCCACAAATCAGATGGGACTTATTAGTGTGGTAAGTGCGGTAATTCAAGTCTCAAGAAAGCAAAGAAATGGAAACACTAATCTAAGAAAATTACCAAATAATGAGTGGAGCTTAAAGTTTGAAACTTTGAGTTATACAATGGATGTTAGAGGGTACCTTAGAGCTTTCAAAATAAGTCACTGACTCCAACATAGTGCTGAGGCTGATGACACAAGAATACCCACATTGAAGAAACCACAAGGACTCTTTGCTGTAAAGTTACAAAACCCAGAAGTTATTTTGCATATATTTGAATAAAAACACACAGAGCTCAGCTGAGTCAGTTGGCCCCCCTGAATCTCCTTCCTTTTTCAGCGTTCTGAGGAATTATTGGCCCAAAAGAGCCAGACCCAAAAGAGAAAGAGAACCAAAAGATGAGGACGAAAAGTACACACGTTTGAGGCCTGTGGGTTTGAAACTATGTATGTATGAGAAAGAGAGATAGAGATTAATCCAATAAGCCTTGTATGTGACTGCGTTTGACAGTTTGTGGGACGGTTTGTGGAGGAAAGGCAGGCGTTGAGGCAGCGAAATGGATTTCAACGTCTCCTGTTCAGTCGGAAGCCAACGTAATTTCCACGTGGCATTGCCCACAGGCCACAAAGACCTTGTGACTTGTAATTATCTCGGACAAGAATTTTTAGTAGATAAGAGGAAAAACGTTGCATAAGAAAATGTTTTTTTTTAGTAGTCTACATCCTAGTTAGCATTTTCCCATACGTACACACGTATTTTTTCAAAAATACTTCTGTTTTTAAATTCAAACGTACAATACACATATTATATACGTACTTAAGTATTTTTTACGTTTAAAACACATTTTTTTACAAATTTTCAATAATATAGACAAAATTCACGTATTATACACATATCTTTTACATTTATTGAATAGAATTAATATATTTTTAAATATATTATATTAAAATATTATATAATGGCCGAACTTTTTAATTGTATTTTTCCACATTTTTGCCAAACAAACTATGTACATTTTTTATTCGTACTTTTCCTTTCCGTATTTTACTAACTATGGTCTACATAGGAAAGTGTTATTACTACAGTAAAATAGTGGCAATTTTGGCAAGACAAAACAACACGACTTGAATTTGTTTATGTGTGGAACAGTTCGATTTGGTCTTGTTCATCTCTCAAATCGAAACTGAAATTAAAAATTACATGCGGTTCGATTTTCATACAAGATATCCAAGGAATACAAGATATCCAAGGAAATTGAATCAATTTGAACTGATATAGCGCCGGTCTGATTTTCCCGGCTCTCAATTTACATGCGGTTTAATTTTAATGGATGAAGAATATTCATAGTTAAGGGGCTTGTAACTCAAATAATTGAGATCATTTAACCATACACCCGAAATACCAGGTTCGATTTCCCTTCCCCTATTTCTATGTTTTTTCTTCTTTCTTACCTTTTTTTTTTTTGTTTTTTTGTGCCAATTTAACTTTTAAACAGGTTAACGGTAGAAAATGAAGATGAAGAGAATAATGTAGTGTAACCAAATATGAATGCATAACCGAAGTTGGATGTATACCACGGCATATATAACAAATCCTGCATACAACAGCTGTGTACTAGGGGTGGGCATCTAAAACCGAAATACCGAAACCGTACCCTAACCGAACCGTACCATACCGATTTCATACCGTTTCATTTTTCCCATACGTACACACGTATTTTTTCAAAAATACTTCTGTTTTTAAATTCAAACGTACAATACACATATTATATACGTACTTAAGTATTTTTTACGTTTAAAACACATTTTTTTACAAATTTTCAATAATATAGACAAAATTCACGTATTATACACATATCTTTTACATTTATTGAATAGAATTAATATATTTTTAAATATATTATATTAAAATATTATATAATGGCCGAACTTTTTAATTGTATTTTTCCACATTTTTGCCAAACAAACTATGTGCATATTTTATTCGTACTTTTCTAATTCCGTATTTTACTAAGGTCTACATAGGAAAGTGTTATTACTACAGTAAAATAGTGGCAATTTTGGCAAGACAAAACAACACGACTTGAATTTAATTATGTGTGGAACAGTTCGATTTGGTCTTGTTCATCTCTCAAATCGAAACTGAAATTAAAAATTACATGCGGTTCGATTTTCATACAAGATATCCAAGGAAATTGAATCAATTTCCCGGCTCTCAATTTACATGCGGTTTAATTTTAATGGATGAAGAATATTCATAGTTAAGGGGCTTGTAACTCAAATAGTTGAGATCATTTAACCATACACCCAAAATACTAGGTTCGATTTCCCTTCCCCTATTTCTATGTTTTTTCTTCTTTCTTACCTTTTTTTTTTTTGTTTTTTTGTGCCAATTTAACTTTTAAACAGGTTAACGGTAGAAAATGAAGATGAAGAGAATAATGTAGTGTAACCAAATATGAATGCAATACCGATACCGACACGTTACGGTATGGTACGGTACCAATTTTGACAAACGATAATCCCATACCGTACCATACCAATTTAAATTTCCAGTATCGGTAGCGGTACTGGCTCAATACCGTACCATACCGTACCGTGCCCACCCCTACTGTGTACTACTACACATCTACACGACCCCTGTCACGGTAATAAAACTGACTAGCGGATATGAGACAGACATATGCAAGAATTATTTCACTAAATATGATGCATCATTTAAGGCTTACAAGAACATGAACAAAACCTTAGTTTGCGTTCTAGGTAAACCATTCGCTAAAGCAAGAATGCAAAAAGCGTACTTAGGAAGATACATGAGTCCATTCCTATACATCAGAACTCAGACACAACATCAGCTGGTATAGCTGGAGGAATAGGAGAAAAAGAAGACCAATTTGGCGAAATTATGTGTAAGTTAAGGCATACAAAAAGAAGAATGACAGCAGTAGCACGTAAAGGTTTAGCATCAATCTTTATTCTTTACCATGAAAAAAGCTTTATTGACAGAATGGCGCTCACTGTGAAGGATTAGAATTGGCGATATTGAAATGTAGCATGCAAAGGGCTTCACTGCGAAGGATTAGAATTGGCAGGAGAAAACTTTAATGAAATACTATTCACACAATGGCGCTCATCCGTGGGTGTTCGGAAGCCTTCGCCTTTGAATACATGACCCAGGTGTCCACCACAAGCCGCACATGTAATTTCGGTCCTCATTCCATCTGGATCTGGCTGACAGTATAAAGAAATTTCATTAAATATATAACTGATAGCTGGAAGAGAATGAAGATTAATAAATAAATAAAACAATCAACAATGCTGCACAAAGGAAGCCTACTCACGTTATAATTTATGGCCCCAGGAAGACCCTCATAGAAAGCTGGCCAACCACATCCAGAATTAAATTTGGTGGTGGATCTGTAGAGAGGAGTCCCGCATCCTGCACAGCCATAGACTCCCTCCTCAAAGAACTTGTCATATTCTCCTGTGCCTGGATACCTTTATAGCATCAAATAATATCGAGCACAAGTTAGTTTGCATTCTTGCATATTCATTAGATACCATCACGAAACATAACAAAGCATTAAGCATGTTACATTGCACAGTGCATGCCATCAATTACACAGTAGTTATCTAGCTATCCATTTTATTTCTGAAAATTTGCAACAGCCATTCCAATCGAAGCCTATCATGGTTTCCATTTCCTGTTTTAATTTTGTTTTACAAATTGTGGAGGTTGGAGAAATAAGTAAGTCGCACAGATTCTTCTCCCACAACAGTTTCAGTAATTAGAATGACTGTAAGGGTCTTCTTAAAATCAACAATGATAATTAAAATAGAAATTGAGGATAATTAACTGGAAACTTTCTATGACTCAGAGACTACATATCACACTTCCTGTTTTACCAAATGTTTATTTGTTCACAAACTAATAATTTCCCTCTTTCTGTAAGTGCACAAATATAACCATTTGCAATTTAAACTTAGCATCAGCCCCTACTTCAACTCCACGAATGCCATGCTTAATGTTTTAGGTCTTTGGTCTATACTAGTCGGTTCCTCTCCTAAATAAAGAAGTGTCCATGGTAGGATGACAATCTATTTTAATCTCAAAGTAACCTTATGAACATGGACTCATTTTTCCTTCCTCTTTTTTTTTGGGACAATCACTGTAAGTTTGCCCAATTTCAATATAGAATCTTTTTTTAACGGATACGACTCCTCCTACCTTCTTTTTCTCATATTTTACAATTTAACATTCTATGCCAATTACACGTTGCTCCCTTGAGGAAGTGGTAGTCATGGCAGTGAACATGGCAACACTTAATCAGAACATTCTAAATGATAAAGCAACCATTATCACCACCTAATGATGTTTGTATTCATCCCATTTGTATATATAGAAACCGGAAATCCACTCATTTAGCAAAAGACAGCTATTGCTGTTATACTAGCCATGATGGTATTCATTTAAAATTCCACTACCCAAGCTAGTAATATCCAGCATTAGAAGCCATGGATAAATAGATGAAGAACAAGAATTAATACTAGCTCAGTCTTTAATTGGTATGTAATCCCCACAGTTCAAATATAAAGAGATTCACCCAACCAGTTCAACCTAATCAATTCAAGCTAGCTGGAAGACCTCAATTGCTATAATCTTTTGTTCCTCCAATGTTAGTAAACTCTTGAAAAATGAACTTCCTGTTCATCTCTTCTTCTTACAGTATTAGACTATGAAGCTTACACCATGAAACAAGACCCAGGGATGCTCAGTGTCAGAGCCTCAAACTCCAAAAAATATATCTCCCTCATTTAACTCTCATCCAACACACAGAACCCAATAGTCCCAATTTAAAACTTCCCACAAAAAACATGAATTTAGAAATACGTACCAAGTAAATAAACTAAAATCCTTGCAATTGCTAGTTATTTCTCATAATCTATACATCAATATAATTAATATTAGAAGTCTAAATCAAATTATTAAGCGACTAAACAATTGCAAACATCTTACTCTGTGCCTTTTTGCCTCAGAATCCGAAACTGCTCAGACGAGAGCACGGCCCGCCACTCCTCCTCTGATTTCTGTACCGACCCAGGAGCAGCCATGGCTACAACAACCCCACCGCGAAAGCTACGCTTACTCTGGAACAAAGACCCACCAAGCCCAATAGCGGGTATGACGCTTGAAATGGGTCTTGGTGGTAGAGCTCTGAAATGGGTTCTGAAGAGAGAAGTGGGTGCAGGTTTTGAAGGGGGGAGGAGCTTCGTGACAGTGGTTGTGATTGTGGTGTTGACGGAGGAAGAGGAAAGGGGTGAGGATTTGAGAACGTGCAAGCCCATTTGAAGATAAAAGAAAGGCAAGAAAATGGTATTAGAAGATTGGACTAGTTCAACTGCAATTAAATATGCACCGTGCTATTTCGGGAGCCCTCTCCTCTTTTTTTTCAATATTTATATGATACTCTTACAACGGGTCAATACACTCACAACAAAGTTACACTATCACAATCAAATAAATTATAATTAAAGTATCGAACTCATCATAAATATATCATAACCATCACCTATGTGAGTTGAATTTAAGATCAAAGACTCTTCAATTGCTAATTTAGGACTCTTCAATTTCCGAAAGACTTGACGTCGTATTGGTAAAAAAATCATAACAATCGGTATTCATGATTTCACGTTCAATATTTCATGCAAATTTATTGCATTTTTCTTTTGCAATTACTAAACTCATTTGTTTCTCATTGTGGGGAAGAAGGACGAAACTTTGTTTAGGCTGCTTGGGGATTTAGCGCAATGCAAATTTGTCATTCTTAACCAACTTTAGCCTTCAAAACCAACTTCAAAAAGCCTAACCCAACTGTAATTACAACAATAATCTCGATGCAACTCAATAATAAACAGGGTCGTTTGGTACGACGCACTGTTATGAACTGGATTAAATATTGGTACTATCTTGTATTCGCTTGGCTTTGCATAAGCTGGATAACACTTGTACAGCGTTTGGTGTATGTTTGATTGGACTAGGACAATTTTTTTTATAAACATTTTTTTGACTTTTCTTCTCTCTCCATCTCTTTCCTTGTCTTCCTCTCTGCTTCTCTTTCATCTTCTTCCCCTCTACATCTCTTTCATCTTATTCTTCTCCATTGTAGTTGTGGCTACCGCTTGGTGGGTCGGTGGTTGTGGGGCGATTGGGTGAGGTTGGTTGCTCGTTGCTTGGGTAGGGATTGTTAGTCCCTCCTCTCCAGACAGGTTTCGCTAAGAACACCTAAGGAGGTGTTTTTGGTGGGTACAGTATTAGTTAATCCCACTTGAAATTATAACCAGGTGAAACAAACATAGGATAAAATCTCAGCCAAGCCAATCCAAGCTTGCACGGTGTAACAAACACCCCCTGTAAGTACAACTCCTCTCACCTAGCTATTTATTATTATTATTATCTTCACTTCTTTTTTCCTTTTTTTGCTAGAGCTCTCATTTTCAAGTTATTATATTGTGGTTATTGATTTACTTAAAATGACTTTAAAATGGCCAACGAGGTCTAGCCCAGTCTTAGGTCCGAACCCATATAACATTTTAATTGTGTGTGTATGAGAAATTCTCATCCATTGTAGTTTAGACTATCGCTTATACTAAAACAAATACTTTAAAATGGAAGCTCTAGCAAAAAATGATAATAAAAAAGTGTTATGGGCCTAGTTGTACTTAAAAATGTTTCTTATTTGGTTGCACTTAGGGTGGATTTCTTCAAGTTGGTTTTGTGGAGCTAAGAATGACAAAGGCCAAAATGCTTCAATTTTACACGTTTCAACTTGTCATTGGACGCCGTTTCAACAAAAAAAACAAACTTGTCATTGGACGTGTAAAAAAAAAAAGACTTTCTCCAATAAGAATTTATGTGTTTTGAATTATAGATAAACGTGGTTTAGGCTATCCATTTGGTATGGATTATCTGATTATCTTGTCAGAATCCATGTAGAATAAGGATTCTTGTAGCCCTAACTCTAAAGATAGAGATTACTAATGAGAAGAAAGAACGCACACAAGTATTTTCTCAACTCTCTCTCTCGTTTCTTTTTTCTCAACCATCTCTCTCGTTTCTTTTCTACCGAACCATAGAAATATCTTTGATAAAAACCGAAAGGCTTGATTACAATAATTACAAAGGCGTAAAAGTTGTCAAATTCCAAGAACATTTATTTTAACTGGACCAAAAAAAAATTATTTTACCAACAAACCCGACGACTTTTTTGTTCAAAATGAAAAACATTAAACAACTTGGGCGGTGGTCAATAATGGGGTTGTTGAAATAATACCGAACACGACGCCTAAACCCTCCTGCTTTTGGTTTGGTTTTTTTTGGTCTGGCAACAAAAACGTGTTTCTTTTTATTACTTCATTTTTGACATTTGACATTGGCTACTTCCTCTCCTCCTCATCATCGGTCAAACTTTTTGATCTCTTCGCACCAAATTCCAAACTCCCCAATCAAACCTTTGACAATTTCGTTCCACATTCTCTCTCTCTCTCTCTCTCTCTCTCTTCATATATCATCTCATCACCATCCATCTTTTACTCCGATTTCTTCTGCAGCCTTCATTCTTTCTCTCTCTCTCTCTTCAAATGGCGGCTGCTGCGAGTGGTGTCGCCGCTCTTCCATGGCCGAACGCAGAGCGCGCCACCTCCTCCTTCTCCAAGTCTTCGCATTCCCAAATCCGAATCCCGCACAGGCCTTTCGAGATTCAGACGCTCAGAAGATCTGCGTTCAACCCTAGGTGTGAATTTGGCGCCGAGAAACCGGTTCAGACCGCCACTTCCAGGTCTTTGAGATCTTCGGCTCTCGAGCTTCTCAAGACGTCCTCGGCTGACAGTGAGTTCTCTTCTCAATTCAATTTTTATTACATTTCGATCGATAGCCGTGATTGTGTTTTGAATTGCTAGTTCGCTGTGTTTAATTTTCTAATTTGTTTTGGAATTTTGATTGGTCAAATGATTTAATTTGCGTAATATTCGTCCAGTAAACCAGTTTAGTTTCATAAATCGTTGATGGGTTGTGGTTTAGGGCTCTTGAAATGGTTGCTAAAAGTTAAAGAACAGTGACTGTTTAGTGACCTATTAAGTGTTCATCTGAGAATTAGCAAAGCATTTACGTTTTGTTTTTAGTTTGATCTCTGAAATTTTCCTCTAGTTTTCAATTTAGTATAATGGGTATGTGTATGTGATTATGTGACTGTTAAGCAAAATCTTTACTCTGAAAAGGTTGAAGAGTATGTTTTTTTGGTGGAATAAATTATATGTTTCTCAGAGAGTTTGAAGATTGTGTGATGCCACTAGTTGATTTGGTGATTCAATTTTCTGAACAATCCTTTTATTTTCTTTCAGGATATACGAAGGAAAGGAGCAGCCTAGCGGTTATAGGCCTAAATGTTCACACTGCTCCAGTTGAGCTACGTGAGAAACTTGCCATCCCTGAAGCACAGTGGTCTCAAGCCATTGGTGAGCTCTGTGCTTTGAATCATATAGAAGAAGCTGCTGTTCTTAGCACTTGTAACCGTATGGAAATATATGTGGTGGCTCTCTCCCAGCATCGGGGGGTTAAAGAAGTGACTGAATGGATGTCAAAGGTGAGTGGTGTTCCCGTCTCTGAGCTTTCTAAGCACCGAATTTTGCTGTACAACGAAGATGCCACCCAGCATCTATTTGAAGTAGCCGCTGGGCTTGATTCTCTTGTACTAGGAGAAGGTCAAATCCTTGCTCAAGTCAAACATGTTGTGAAAGTTGGACAAGGAGTACCTGGTTTTGACAGGAAAATCAGTGGGCTTTTCAAGCATGCAATCACTGTTGGGAAGCGAGTGAGAACTGAGACCAACATTGCCTCAGGATCAGTTTCTGTGAGTTCAGCTGCTGTGGAGCTAGCCCTAATGAAGCTTCCTAAACCTTCCTATGCTACTGCCAGAGTGTTGGTGATTGGTGCAGGCAAGATGGGAAAACTCGTAATTAAGCACTTAGTTTCTAAAGGGTGCAGAGAAATGGTGATTGTTAATAGGAGTGAGGAGAGAGTTGCTGCCCTACGTGAAGAGTTCAAGGATGTTGAAATAATCTACAAACCCCTCTCAGATATGCTAGCAAGCGCTGCTGAAGCCGATGTCATTTTCACCAGCACTGCATCAGAAACCCCATTATTCTTGAAAGAACATGTACAGATGCTTCCATCTGTCAGTCCAGAACTTGGAAATCGGCTTTTTATTGACATCTCTGTACCTAGGAATGTGGAACCATGTGTCTCAGATCTTGAAACTGCATGTGTATATAACGTGGATGACCTCAAAGAGGTTGTGGCGGCTCACAAGGAGGATAGGCTTCGGAAGGCTATGGAAGCTCAGAAAATTATCACTGAGGAATTAAGTAAATTTGAAGCTTGGAAGGATTCACTTGAGACTGTCCCTACCATCAAGAAGTTTAGAGCTTATGCTGAAAGGATCAGAGCTTGCGAGGTTGACAAGTGTTTGTCAAAGATGGGCGATGATATCTCAAAGAAGCAACAAAAGGCTATTTATGATCTTAGCATGGGAATAGTGAACAAACTCCTTCATGGTCCGATGCAGCACCTCAGGTGCGATGGAAGCGACAATCGTAGTTTGAGTGAGATTCTAGAGAATATGCATGCTCTAAACAGGATGTTTGATCTTGACACAGACACATCTGTATTGGAAGAAAAGATTCGAGCGAAGGTGGAACGAATCCAGAAGTAAGGGTCGTTGTAGCTGGTTTTTTCCTTGCTCCAGTTGCAATTATGTTGGAATTCCACGTACTGACCCTGCTATCGCAACTGTATACACAGAAAGTCAGTAGTTTGGAGGCCTTTGTTTTTATTGATTGACATTCTTGGGGACAATTAAATCTGTCCTACTCATACATGGTAGATTTTCGGCGTAGTAGGCAACAAACCGAAGTTTTGGGGGGAACTTGTTGCTTATTACATATAACAGAGGTTGGTCTTGAGAGTTGATGATTCTTGTAGTTAACAATTCATTGAAATTGAGTATAATAGTCCACATACATACATATTTGGCCACGTTCCCTCTTACTTTTACCCCCAATTTTTTTCTTCAATTTTTTTAACTATCAAAAGGAATAAAAGGCAACAACAGATTGGATGAGTTAAGATGTTTTAGTTTACGGCATTGCATCAGAAGGTGGAACTGAAATTGTTGTAGCCGTTTGGACTTTGGAAAATCTTGGACATATGTATTCATGTAAGCATGTTTTTGTTCAGCATGTGAAAAATGTATTATTTTTCTTCGCATATTTTTAATCCAGAAGTCATGGAATAATCAGGGATGGTTGATTGTGTATCATCACGCAGATGGTTGAGGTTGTTGATTGTGTTTAGAATAATGACTTTGTATATGGTATTGAAAATTCAACATCTATTGTGCTCATCTTTTTATATCTTTTTTTTACACTACTGATATTTAGGGAGGATGAATTCGAACACAAGACATCAGGTGCATGGGTAACTAATCATATTTTAATCCAACATTTCCATTTATCTCGCCAACCAAACACAGGGATTAGACTTTTGAGTGGGCTTTAAAGAGGTACCAAGTAAGGATTAACAATTGGGATTAAGGAGTGATGGGAAGGGAGAAAAAGGAACAAAAATCTTCTTTCTAGAAATGGATTTCCTTCTTCCACAACAGCACAGCTCTTGGTCAGTATATTGCAAGAAAATGAAATCATTTCAAACGTTATAACTTGTTGGCATTTCATCAGTTTGCTGATGGTTTGATAGTGAGAAGAAAAAGAAAAATCAAGAGAAAGGGTGCAGTGTGGTATCAATAAAGCTTAATGGCATGTTTGAAAGCTAACAGATCTAATCTTATAGAAAATGATCTTAACTTGCACACTAATGATGTGATTTTACTCTCTATGTGAGGAGCCTTTCTTTTGTTTGCACACAATAAAAAAAGGCCTCAACCAACAAAGTGGAGACTCATGTCCACTAAATCAAATAGTTACAAGTCAAAATAAATAGAGTTGAACTTCCACCTTGTGTTTGGACGAGAAAATTTAGTAATACAATGGAATTTGAAAATGATGGGAAATTTTATTTATTTTTTAATACAAGCATCTAAACTACAAGGGGATGGGGATTTGTCATACACACCACCAAGGTGCCATGGAGGTTCGAACTTGAGACCACTGTTTGTAAGTCAATGCCCTTTTGCATTAGGCTAGACCCTGTTAGTGAAAATGATGGAAATTAATGTCTTAAAATTTGTAAAGTTTCTTCTTTGACTAACTTAAAAATATAAATGAATGTAAAGTTTATCTTTTTATAGGCCTTTAATTTATAAATAAGGTGGTGGTTGATAAATGTGTGCACGATCGTGGTGGTTGTTGTAAAATGAAAGGTATATGCAGGAATATTGAGCTGCATGTAAAGTAAACGAGACACAATATTTAACGAGATTCGGTCATGCCTACGTCCTCGGAGAGCAGCATTAGTAACTTTTCCACTATGTAAAATAATAGGGCTACAACTTTAGTGTTTACAGATCTCTAGCTCACTGATTTTTCTCTCTTGGAGAATTCTCTGCTCTCTTCTCTCCTCTCACTCCTTTCTTTTTCCCTTCCTCTCTACCTGGGCTCTCATTTTCTTCTTTGATGGTTGGTGCATAGAGCATTTGCAAAATAGGGAAGCCTTTTATAGGCAAATGTCAAGCCATTCCCGTGAATGTGCAGGAAAGCATTATGCACTAAAGTCTTCAAACCAATAGGAAGTGGGCTCCACATGTTTATTCTTTACAACACTCCCTCTTGGAGCCCACAAGTAATATATTGTTGCCTAAATATAATATTGCTAGGAGAAAACCCAGCGAGGTAGAAAACTGATGGAAGGAAAAAGAGTACAGTAATCAATGTAGCATACTTCTGGATGCTCCCCCTTAATGAATATCTCCCCCTGATATCTTCATGACTATTTTTCTGGAGGGAAAAGCTTTCAGAGTGAGTGGAGGATGTAGCCATAAAAAATTCCTTAGTTGACTTCCTTCCAGTCGCGCCTTTTGTTTTTTTATTGATTTCATTTTTTTCAGACTCCCTCTTGTTCATCTCAAACATATTCTCCTCTTAGTACCATCTCCTAGTTTCTTTGGTCAGAATCGATACCTTTCTCTGGAACTCCCTCTCTCTTTCCCTGCCCCCTCTGTTTCCCTCCTCCTCTCTCTCTCTCTCTCCATCTCTGTCTTGCTCTCTCAGTTTCTCTGCCTCAATCTCCCTCACCGTCGTCCTCTCTCTCTCTCTCTCTCTCTCTCTCTCTCTCTCTCTCCATATCACAATTCAAAAATCGAGATCTATTTGAGAGTCTATATTTTCAAACTTTGATATTATGTTTTGCATTTTCTATTGCATTCCTTAATGTTTAATTTCTGTTTAGGATTTTAGGGCTTTGATTTTCTGGGTTTACACATATGGGCTCCTCCTCCCTCTCTGTGTAGGTAAGATTACTCTTTCTCCGTACTAGTTGTGTTTGCAAAAATATAAATTGGCTTCAATTGCTTAATTTTCTGGTTTAATTTGTTGGTGGGTAGGCATTATGATTCTGCTTGGGGTTGAATTTTTTAAAATTGATGTTTCTCTGAAACCCAAAAGTTCAAGAAACTGCTCTTTCTGGGTCTAATAAAATATTGCTAGGAGAAAACCCAGCGAGGTAGAAAACTGATGGAAGGAAGAAGAGTACAGTAATCAATGTAGCATACTTCTGGATGCTCCCCCTTAATGAATATCTCCCCCTGATATCTTCATGACTATTTTTCTGGAGGGAAAATCTTTCAGAGTGAGTGGAGGATGTAGCCATAAAAAATTCCTTAGTTGAGTGAGTAAATATATTTCCAGTGAGCGATCTCTATGTAAATCATAGAAATTTCTAGAGTCAATAGAACCCGAGCGATTTGTAAGTTCACTTTAATATAATATGCCCTTATATGTTGTTATACGGAGATAGCATCTAATATGCTTCACACCACTCCAAATTAATGGTGATGGAGCTCAACTTTATCTGTAAAACAATGTCCAGTTTAGTATATTGCCGGAAAAATATTTAAGTGCCCAACGGATAATCCACATAAAAATGCTCAATACTTTCTTAGTATAAGCTAATTAGTGGACAAGAATCACGTTGGCATAATGCTCGATCTTCATGTTGAGACGAATATTTCTTAAACTCTTCAGGAGTTTTAACCATATATTAACTCTTCCAGAGTTTTAATCAAATATGAACTTTGTAGGAGTTTTGATCAACTATCAACTCTTTAGGAGTTGTAATGTGTTGCAACCATATCATAATTAATGTACTCATTGAGGCAATTTATACATATCAGTATTGAGTACAAAATTTGTGCATCAAGCACATGGCATTCGGGGACTTGCTTCATGCAATTTTAAAATTTCAAGGATTTTATTTAAGGGATTACATTTTATGACACATTATATAGCTTTAACCTGGCCAGCTATTTATACATCTTTAGGGAATTGCTTCTGGCGATATGCTTCGTGCATTTAATAACCCTTAAAGATAGCATGTTGGTCTCTGTAAATGTGCAACAAAAAGGCACGACTGCATCTGTAAATCTGGAGAATCTTAACATGTCTTGTGTCATATAAAGTGTGTATATTCCTTTTTATTCCGAACACCCATGTATAACCTTCAGGGTTAACATCTTTTTGGGGTTCGTACTATGGGTTTGGTTTTTCACGTTCATTCTCATCTGTAATAGAATTGCCTCTTTCCATTTTGGCCAATAATTTTGTCGACATTTAATATAGAACGTGGTTCCAATCAACACAACACATTGATGATTTGAGTAGCTACTCTAAAATAAAAATAAAAATTATCATTCACCAATCCGTGATCCTACCATTCTCATGTGCATGGGCGTGCATCAATTATAAGTATTTCTTTGCTTTTGGGTATCCAAGCCACTTCAGGGGCTTTTATTGTCTTTTTTCAGATAGACATCTCTTATAAGATGAATTATGTGAGAATGTGGATCATAACCTCTAATAGAGCGTTATTTTATAATAGTGCGTGGATAATCTCCATTCAAGGGGTTAGAACATTTAGAACCCTTATATGTGTCATGCTGCAGACATGCCGCAAATTAATACACACATGTCAATGAATTGTTCTTTTGGGACTTTAAACCATATAATTTGCTACACATTAGACATGCATCATATTAATATTGACATGTTAATGAATTGTCCTTCCAGGACCTCAATCCATATCATTTGCTACGCAATAGGCGTGCATCATATTGATCACTGCTATACCCATGTTTTGCTCTTCTAAGACTTTAATCTATGGAGTGTATTATCAATGTATTCAACTTGCAATTTGTAAAATTTGCATTAATAATTCATGAATACATATCAAGATGATTCAAGCCATTCTTTTATAACGGTCTTTTGTAAATAATACAATTCATTCTTCTGGAACAGTCCTATCTATTCATTTGGTCACCACCGATGATGACGTACAAAATGTCAAATTACTAATAAGAGTACAAGCATGAATTAACACAAGTATTGCTTACATCCTTAGGTGAGAGAAACTTTTCTCAAATATCATTCTAGCTTGTATTGGCTCAACAAATATAATGAAACGCTTGATGATCTTGTTATATCTTGCAAGAGCAAAAATCACAATTCTTTTGCCTCTGTTAAAATAAAAAAACCTGAGTGTTAGGTTCATGAATTTGTTCTTCAAATGAAGGTTTCAAAGACACAAAATTCCATGGGAACAAAGAGTTATAAGAAAGAAAGAAAAGATGCAAAGAATTATGATATTGATTGCAAGGTAGGTAAGCAATCTGAGAAGGAAATTGGTGAGGTAATAGACAACAAACTCTCATTTCTCCTAACCTAGGAGAACTTTAGGAGATTAGAGCCATGTGCTCGTTCTTGATTGTCCTATAGTCCCTTGAGATCATAGGAGGCGTGATCAGGGATAGTCTCGCTTCCTAAAGAAATGATCACATATAGTCTCACCTCTCAAGTACATCAAGGGCTCATTGATAGGAAAAACAAGTTGATATTGTATCATTTGGATAAGATGTGATCTGCAATGAAGTTTGTTAGTAACATATTTATACACAAGAAAGGAAATAGTGTGATATGATAAATTTCAAATTAACTACAGAAATTTTTTAGGTTCTCGAGACACTTCTGAAAAAAGTGACTCCGTGA